AAATAACCAAGATAATGATCAGGGTAATGTTTAAAAAAAAAAAAAATATCCTCACACCATCTTCACTTAAGTAGAAAATCAAAACTAGTGGTCAACAGATAAAGATAAGACATGGACACATGAACTTTCTCTTTTGATCCTTGGTTTGCACTGTGATCCCAGAATGGACACTGCCATGAACGGTGGGCTTGTCCTGGCGTTCCTGGTTAGATTGGTGATTTCTAGAGCTTAGTGATGGTAAAATACTTTCTATTTCATAAAACAAGGCTCTAAACAACTATAGTTGTTACTTAAAAAACTCTTTAGATAAGGGTATTCTGTGACACAAGTTTTATCTTGTGGTGGACTTTTCATTTCTTATCCTTTACTTTTGTGAGAAAATCATATAAAATATTAGCTAAATAGGAATATACACTGTTCTGGCTATTGAACCCACATCCAAAAGTAAGGTTCTGGGTTTTTGTTTTGTCTTCCTATATTTTTAAAGAATCTTCCAACCTACCTTCTCTGTAATTGTGCACTAGACCCAATTCCTCTGATATACATTAAAAAAAATTGTAGAAAAAAATTTTTTAAAGATTTATTTATTTATTTATGCATATAGAGCTGGGTACAGGCCAGGAGTGCAGGGTGGTGAGAGGATTCAGCAGAAACAGAGTGGGAGCAGAATAGACAGATTGACGAAGTACACTGCTGAGGGGAGCAGTGGGCAGGTCAGGAGAGGGCTGCTGCACCATGTGGGTCACCTCCAGGGCGGGGATCGAACTCATGCTGAAGTGGCTTTAGCTTCTTAGTGCTGTGCCACCAGGGAGGGCCCTGTAGAAAATTTTTTATACTCTGACATTGTGGTTCCAACTTAATTCTTTTTTTCCCTCCAACATATTCTTAACACTACTAAGTAATACTTTTCTCTGTATTATTTTAGGCAAATAGAGGTAAGCATACTCCATATCTATTTCCATATTTCTGATTAACTGAAATAATTCTCTATTTTCTAATTTACATGCACAACAAATATATTGCATTTACCTCCTGAATCAGTAGGGGAATCAGTTTTATCAGTGGAAAAGAAGCATTCAGTTAAAGAATCATTCTTTACCATAGATGCTCTTTAAGGTTTGTCAAGGTTTTACATTTTTGAAAACGTATTTATGTCCCATTGATCTTTAGAACTGATCTTTAGAATAGCTAGGAGTTTGACCCCTGTTTTTAGCCAAAGAAAGCATTTCTGTTTTAAATGTGTTCATTCATAAATATCAATATTCACATCACATTTTAGAAAGGTAGGTAACATTTGTAAAATATCACTTAAAACTAACTTCTTCATTTACTTCAAAATTATTTTTAGTTTTAGTTTTTACTTTTTTTTCTCGCAGTATTTGGGAACTTCCCCAGAAGTACAAAAAATTTTAGCCAGATGAGGAGCCACAGGTTACAAAACAGCCTGAAACTAGCTGTGTTCATTTCCCAAAGTTATTTGTTTATTCATTCAGCTATTACTAGCAAGATATGTCAACATAATTTTCTTTTACTTTTATATTAGAAAGATGTTTTATTACACCTTACAATGTAACTCAGAGGATGTAGTTAAAATGTAATTATAATGATACCAGACTTTTCCTTCAGGACTTGGTGATATTGCTGGGAATAGCTATTAAACTTTGTTGTATGACCTCAAGGGGAAAATCTCTCTTGTTCTCTAAAATTTTCAGATGTTGCTGTTTGCTTTTCAGTATAAACAATCTTTTTAGGAGAAACAACAGCATTTGTTAACTAGCTATTCATTGTAATGGATCTGTGCTGTTTTCTTACCAATTGGAGTATATGTAGTATTCTTGGTTTTTAGTTTTTGACTTTGTGTTTATCTTCATTGTGTTGTCATTTTGCTTTGCTCTTATCTCATGACTTTCTTAATTTTCATGTGCCCAGATTTTTTCAATGGATATCAGTTCCCATTCTAGTTATCCAATTGCTGTGTGATAAACTCCCTTAAAAACCTTGGTGTAAAACACCAACTTAATATTTTCTCCAAAGATTCTGTGAGGTCACTTGACTCAGTTCATCTCCTCATCTGGGACCTTTCATTTGGGATTTTCAGAGACTGCCAGGTGCAGGAATAACCTGAAAGCTTGTTTGGGCTTCACATCCAAGGTGATACCTTTCCACATGACATCTCTTTGTCCTAATAGGCTAGACTTCTTACCTGGTGTGAAGGCCTTAAAATACTCTGGATATTAAAACCTTATTAAAACTAACTGAACTTGTTATTCTAAGAATAAAAGTTCCATGCCAATTATATTCTGTTTTATCTCAAGCTGCTACCCTCACTGTTTTTCTTTAGTTCCAGGGTCTCAAGAACAGAGAACAAAGGTTTTGTTAGATAAGTCTTCAGTTACTATAAATTTACTGCCATTATATTGGCCAAATCAGTCACATTCAAAGATATATGGAAATAGTTTCCACACCTGCTGGAAAAGTGGCAATGTCACATTGCAGAAGAGCTTGTAAAATCAGCAGTGGTGTTAGAATCATCTTCAGAGGATATGACATGCCTGAGACAGCCCCTGATAGCAAAGTCTGAATTCAACACTGGCTGGAAGTGATCCTCAAATTGTTTGTTGTCTTTGTAGTAGTTGGGGTTCTCCAGAGAAACAGAACCAATGGGAGATATTTCTTCTGTTGAGGATCTCAACAGAGGCTGAGAAGTCCTACAGTTGTCATTTGCAAGTTGGAGACCCAGAAAAGTTAGTGGTTTAAATCTAGTCAAAATGAGAACCACCGGAGGAGCTAGTGATATACATACCAGACCAACCAATCAAGTTAATGAATCTCTAACCCCCGGGTATCTTCAAGATCCAAGGGCAGAAAATATTCACGGCATTGCATTTGGATATTAAAAAAAAAAAAAAAGTCCAAAGGATTCCTTTATGATTTCTATTTAATTAATACTGATGCTTTTTTTTATAGTGTGACTCATAATTCTTGACATTAGATTAGCCTCACGATAAGTGATAATGAACATTTTTTTATGTGCTTATTGTACTTATTGGTCATCTGTATCTCTTTCTTGGAGAAGTCTAACTCTTCCTGGAATTGTATGTTCAGTTCTTCCCCCAGATTTGAGAAGTTTTTCCATATTATTTCTTTGAATAAACGATCTACTTCCCTTTGGGGACCCATCATTCTTATGTGTCTCTCCTAATACAGTCAGCTAATTCTCAGTTTTTCTTCATTTTAAAAACTCTTATTTCTTTCTCTTCTTCAAGCTGCAATTTTTGTGTATTACAATCTTTGAGACCACTGCTTTGATCCTCCGTTCAATCTATTCTGATTCCAGGTAACTCTAGAGTGTTTAATCTCACCTATTGAGCAGTTCAACACCCAGAATCTCTATTATTTGCATATTTAAAGCTCCCACTTCTAACTTCTGTTTATTAATTTTATTTCTAAGGTTTATCTTTTCTTTTATGGGTCCCTCTTGTTTGATTTGCTCTGATTTTTATAATTTTGGCCTTTGCTAGCTTCCGTAGGTACTGAGACTTTGTTTTGTTTTGTTTCTGCATAAGCAGCAGGATGCCAGAAGGGCCCAGCCAATGGTGTGAATGAGCTGGAGGTGGGGAGGGCAGGTTCCTGCTTGTGGCATAAGCTATAACTGCCATCTCTGGGCTTCTAGATGGGAAATTGTGTAGCCTGTGTGTGGTCAGTGTCAGTCCCAAGAGGTCGGGGGACTGGGGCACACTGCCGAGCACTGTCGCCCCTCCTTCCTGGTGACTGGTTATGAGTGGAGCATCCCAGCACCCCCACATCTGCTTCCCCTCAGTCGAGGGTGTGAGCTCCCACCTGGTTTCCTTTCGCCCAGGGCCTCTGGCTAGGCTGAAATCTGGAGGCTGGATCACAGCTCCTGTTCAGTTAAGATGGAATCTCCCGGGGCATCTACTCTCTCTGGGCCCACACAGTGTCTCAAGTCTCAGGGGTGCTCCAACTTTGAAACAAGACACAGGAATCTGTGGATGTACTGTTCCGGTAGTTAATTGTTATGTCCACCTGAGGCTGAGGGAAAGCCACTGTTGTCATTTTTGTAAAGTTTCTCCTATCTTCTGAGTCATTCCCACTATTAATTTTCCTTCACTGTTCCCATTTTACATTTATATTAAAGTGCAAGTGTAGTTAGATTTTGCATATCACCCTTCCTATGTGTGGTGTGTGTGTGTGTGTGTGTGTGTGTGTATAGGGGGTGGTTGGTGTTAGGGGGATTGGGTGGTTGATCCATCCCACTTCCTACCCCACTGAAAATTAAAATCTAACTAAATTGGTATGAGGTTATCAGATATAATATAGGCTAAAATTGAATGTTGGAAACATAATAAGTCATTTATTTAATATAATTATGTCCCAAATATTTCAGTAGGGCAAATAGGTCATGAAATAAATTTACACTAAAAAATTATAAGGTATTTATCTAAAATTCAAATTTCACTGGCCTGCTATGGTTTATTTGTAAACTCTGGCCATTCTAATGACATTATTTCTCTAATGTTCATGGCTTGCCATTCCCAAGATGTCAAAACCTTAGGGGTGCTGCATATGCATAAAAAGACTGCCTATCATTTCACTGTATTTTTTTTTTTTCTGAATTGTTCACCTACTGATCTAAGCTTTTCCATTCCGAATCTTTCATTTACTTTCTTAATAGTAAAACATTTAGGGCCTCCCTGATGGCATTAAGTCACAGCACTATGAAGCTATCCATAGCCACTGCAGCACTGAGTTGGATTCCCTGCCAAAGAGATGACTCACATGGCACAGCAGACCCCTCCTGTCCCGCCCATTGCTTCCCTCAGCAGTGTATTTCAGTCAATCTGTGTGTTCTGCTCCCTGCCTCTGGCCTGCACTCCAGTTCTTATATGCATAAATAAATGAAAAATAAGTCTTCAATAAAACCACAATTATTCAATTGCATTTTTATTTGTGATCAAACCCATAGAGAGAATATACATACATATCACATAAAAATACATGAGAATGACAATTAGGCCTAATATACAGTGTTGGCTAGGTAGTAAAGAACTACACATATATTGTATAGTGTCATTAATATCAGTGAACCTCACCTTAGAAGCACTTCTTGCACCAAGAGTATGCTGTAGTAGTTAGTAAAAGTACAAAGTAAAAATGCTATTTATAGAACAACAGCCTCAACACATTCAGTCAAACTTGATCTTGTGGATTGGTTTACCAATTTTTCAATGGTCCTGGTTCACAATGACCTTTCAAAATTTATTCAAAACATACCATGGAAAAGCAACGAGAAGCCGAAGCAATTACAGAAAATCACTTGGGAACAGTAGCACCATCCCACACGATAATACGCGCATTTGTTGTATTGCACCTTCCTGAGTTGGATTTTGAAAAGGGTGGCCACACAAGAATGCCAGAATGGATGAGTTCCTCCCTAGCTAGGCCTTCGCTGGCCTTAGTAATAATCTTGACCAGCATAACCACCATACCCTTGCCCTTTATAGTAGCTGTACTCATCCTCGTAAGCTCTGTAATTGTCCCCACGGGGTTCTCCATTTTCATTTTCATAGACTTCATATCCATATTCACTGGTGCCTGTTTGTTCATACTCCTCATATCCAGGGGTGGTGGTCTCCCCTAGTGGGGGGGTGGTAGTCCCATAGACCTCCGGTGGTGGGGTTGTAGCTTCAAACCCACCATTTGGAGAGGGTGTTGTCTTAGTGATGGCTTTGTCCTGTCTTCCAGCCACTGTGGTTGCTTCTGCATTCGATTCTGTGGCACTTTCTTCACCTTCTTCACCATTGTCACCACCACTGCTGCCATTTCCATTGTCTACTTCTGTGCTGTTGGTGCTGGTGCCATTTATGCCTTGCTCATTTTCATCCACTTCTGCTTCATTTTCTTCATTTTCATTTTCTTCATCTTCCTCTTCTTCTTCTTCATCACTTTCTTCCTTTTTTGTAGACTTGTTCCCAGTAGGCCCAGCCTATAAAGAAAAAATTGAAAGAACCCAAATCTGGCATGAAAACTGAGAACCCTAAGGTCTTTATTTCATCCAACACAACCTCTCCTGATAACTATGTTCTAGATATAATTTTGAAATGGAGTCAATTTAATTTATGAAAGAATTGGTGGGAGTCTTAAAATTTCAGAATTCGTACCTACAGCGTTTAATTTTGATGGAAAATGTACTTGAAAAGTAAGCATCCTCTGTGGCAGATGCTTCTTATAACTCTGCTACTCACTTTTCTTTGTTTTGGAATATTCTTCCTTGAAATACAATGGTATCCTTCAAAAGCTTCTAAACAATGATAAGATGTTTGCCCTTAGTCTTTGGTTATAATGTAGAAAGTCAGTGTTATAACTGGGGAGATATTTTGTAAGAAGGAAAATCACATCCTCTCAGACAATCCATTAGCTAATGTAGATAACATAATACAATATCAGGATACAATATCAGGATACCATGAGACTTCACTAATGAAATAAAATCAGATATAATATTCTGGAGGAAGCACTACCTTTTTGGGAAGCTGGATTGCAGCAAGACCTAGCGTCACTAATGCAGGTGTACTCTCCTCCCCGTAGCCAGGTGTTGTAGCAGAAAGGGTGGTGTTGTCGGCCTCAGATTCTTCATCTTCATTTCCATCAGAGTTTTCGTTTTCTTCATTATTTTCTTCTTCATTTGAAGTCTCCTGATGAAATATAT